GATGGAGCTGGCGAACTCGCGGGAATCGGAGACAGTACGGACGAGGTTTTCTTCGCGACTGTTCGGGTCTTCAAGCTCTTCCATGACATCGCTGAGCGATACATCTGTGCGACTGCCACGATTCCTTTTCCGAGGGCCGGTCGTGCGACACTTCTGGGCTCTCTCAATGCATAGCTTGACGTCGTCATATGGAATGAGGAGTCGGCCCAGTTTGAGTGCGATGGATGCATCGCGCAGGCCCTCGAGCTCTTTCTTGAGGAAGCCGTGAACGTTGAGAGTGCAGTGGTCGAGCAGCTCAGTCGATTCCCTGCCTTCTGGAGTGAACAAGATGCTGCGCGCGGAGAAGAGCCACTCGGCAGGCCATTGTTCCTGGTCTGGCTTCGGCTTGTGGTGGTTGAAGAGGCGGCTGCGGTCGACCGTCTTTCGCCTGGTGTCTACAGCCAGATTAAGGCCACCGACCTGCACTGAACCCACGTCGACTACGACAAGGGTGGTCGCGTGAGCCACGACATCGACCTGTCTGAGCCAGTTGATGTTCCTGTGCAGGCGCTTGATCTTCTCCTTGGCATCCGTGAGCCTCTTCCACGTCTGGCTTCTCTGTGTCTCCTCGTCGTCGTCGTCGGCCACGGGTTCCGGGGTGTTCTGGCCGCTATTGCCCTTTTGTGTCGTGCCGTTGGCCCAATGTGCCCAGCCCGTCTTCTTCCGCGGCTTCTCTCCAAGCGCCTTGAGGTCTACCGTGACCTTGAGCTCGTGTAGAACAATGCTGACTACCGTCGGTTGGGCGAAGGTGGGTCGATGGAGGGTAAAGCCAAGGCCGCGGATTTCGATGCGCAGGCCATCCTTGGGGGTAAAGGCGATGCGTCGCAGGCCCCGGAGGCCGAGTCGCTGTATGGATACGCCGGTAGCTATACGTATAAAGGCAAATAGGACAAACGAGAGCAGGTATATCAGGAGCAGGAGCCCCGCAAGGAACTGGAGGGTTGGCAGGGCCATGATGCTGCTTCAACCGTATGCCATTGACCGAGTAGAGGATTATCCGAGAAGGTGGTCGCGAGTGCACGCGATGTGCCCGAGTGATTGGAGAGTCGACCGGCCGAACATAATCGAGGGAGGCGCAGGCGCAGGGCTACGAGGGTTGCTGCATAGAGGGCGAGGCGACGGCGTAGGTGAAAGTGCGGACTTAACGGTCGGGGGAGACAAATGCGGCCAAAGCGGCAGTCCCGGAACGCGTCACCTGGTGGTTGAGGCGAGCTACGAGTGAAAATTCGAGGTACCGGCGATGGATCGAGCAGTAACGACTATGGAGACGTTCTCTCCAGTCTCTCTGCGGGGCTCCGTATTTCCCTTTGTGGTGTCTTGTGCAGATGCCGTCAGATTTCCAGGTTCCCACGCTTCGTCGGCACCATATCCCTGCCATGCCAAGACCCACCCGCGTACCTGGAAGGAGCTTGTCACACCCTGACGTGTCGCTTCCACTTCATCAGCACCTTCTTGCATTCCTCGTACTTGCTTTCTACTACCATACTATTGACGCGCGTGAAAAGGTTTACGCTAAGGGTATAGTACGTGGCCATCTGGCCGCGTCGATGCGAGCCTCCATCGTGCCCATCGGTCGTTCCTGCCAAGTGTGACCGATCGCGGCTGTCCGCATACGTGGGACGACACATCCAGGGAGCTCAACCCACATTACCGCCGGATGGCGTCGGGAACAAAGATACCTCATCCTTGCGGTGGATCATTGCCCTGGAGCCCTTTGTAATCCTATATATTGCTCACAGAGTATCAGACTTACGAAAGTTTTCAGACATCTTTAATCACATCAGTAGGATAACTAATCTGGATACCTTCAAACGTGTTACCGCATTGTTGTCTCCACCTTCCTTTTACTAGCGTACTGCTTTCCCTAAGTTCACATCGTTGCAACGTCTTTCTTGTATATTAGCGTTCGGAAAGAGGCCTTGTGGGAAGGAAGCTATAAATGGAAGTCCAGAACGGAGACATTCCATATTTTCTAGCATCACCCAACCAAACATCAATAATCACGAATCGTCCGCATCAGCGAGTACCCAAATCAATATCTGGATGATAATGGAGTCACAAATCAAACCGAGTACATCCCTTCCACGACCTTGTCCTGTGGAGTTCTTCAGGCACAAAAGCCATGATGTGACCTTTTTCTACATGTTCTCACTGCACGATGCACACACAATCCTGGCGAGGGAAAGGGGAGCCACAGTTCACTTCAACCCGCAAAACTCGCCGATCACAGTCTACTAGGAATACACCGAGACCATGGCTCGCTTTCCCGATAAACCCCGCCATCTGCTCAATGGACCACTCAGCCCTGCCGATGCACTCCACATTTGGGCAAGAGACCGATATCCGCCGGCACCTATGACCATTCTACGAGAAACTATGGTCACACCATCTGGCGGTATGCTAGACAGGGAGTATGTGTGGCAAGGCTGGCTTTACAAAGAAAGAACGGGAGGGTGGGATGTGGATTCGATGGCATACTGGCCGAGCGTGGAAACAGTCACGACATCGTCATCGGGTTATAACAGTGGACTGACACCATGGATCCGTGAGGTCGGGACTGCGAAAGGGCAACTCCGGGTGTACACACCTGAGAGGGGGAGAGGAATGGAATGAGCATGGCAGATATCAATTGTGTGGTCGATACGCTGTGGGTACTGGAGTTATGGAATAAACGCAGCATTAGGGATCTAGAACTATGCACCTCGCGGATACATGTTTTCGCCGGCTATCCACATTCATCCGCAAGGCTGACTACTATCGTTGATTCGTACTGTTGGCCACACTTCCTCCCTGACATAACGTTCAGCTCAACCATGACGACGACGCTGAAACACTCTTTTCAACCACGCAACCATTCGAACTCCAAAGATGCTGTGGAAGGGCCAGAGTTGTATCGAATGCAGCAGGGCTGTCCGTGAGCATTGCGAAACCACCATGGCTGGTCCGACAGCAAATTATTCGACTGAGTTGGACAACACACGTGATACATCCTCATCAGGAGACCCAACAAACCAGCACCAGTATTCCAATCATCCTTCCTGACAGCTCCGATAACGAAATTCCCACTTCATCTTTGTTGCGAGTGAAGGAGGGATCGACCATCGTCTCTTCCATCTGCTCCTGGTCCTGAGACGTTTTACGGCAGATGCGATATCAAGTTGTAACCCTAGATGGAGACCCTTGGTGACGTCCAGAGAACGATCTCTGTTTCGCCTGAGGGTTGAGCGAGATCCAAAATCTTGTCTAGAACCGGTTCCTTCGCCCACGTTGAGAATATGCATCGGGACGTGCATATCGTGGGACGTGCGATTTGAAAAGCGACTGAAGGTTGGCGACTGCTTGTCGTAGCGAGGCAGGATATGTCCGAGGAAACAAGTACGTTGGGCTATTTTGTCCCTGGGTGTGACGGGAGGATTTGAAGCGAATGATGAGATCGCGGTTTTCGAAGATGAGATCAACGTCGTGAGTAGAGTGATGCGTATAGTGGACCAAAGACTTGTTGATCAGCCCTTTTGTAATTGGTGATGCGAAGACCGTCGATTATCACGTCGCGTATTTCGCGTAGCAGGGTGCGGACAGGCGACATGTCTAGATCTGGCTGGGGTTACTGCGAGAAGGTGGACTGTAACGAAAAGAGAGAGAGGTGCAGTCGAGTCGTGCGCACATCCTTCGCTTTTTGTTCAATCCTTTGTTGGGTGGCCCAGGTAACCATCATTTGGTTCAGGGTGCGGTAGGAAAGGGTTCATCTCTGTCTGAGCATATTATACTTGCCATGTCTTCCCTCGGAGTTGCTAATTGGCTCGATATTGCTGAGCTCACTGGAATTACAGGAGCTGTGGTTGGCTTGTTGTGCAAGTTGTACCAAGGTATCCAGTATGTAAGCCTACCATAAACATACATACTGCGCTATAGGCCATAATCTCTCAACAACATCCTCAACGGACATCTCAACCCTGCGTCTCAGCAAACAAGGACTGCTGTTTGCGAACAGCGGTCACAACAATATGGTTCTGCGGACTAAACTTGTTCGATTTCTATTTGCATTGGTTGAGGTTTCTTCGAAGACGCAATTAAGTCTTTGCTTATAGACACAGTGTGGTATGCTAAATAGTCTTGGAATAGCCTACCAGCGCTTGCTCGCATATGCTACAGCCAGTTATCTTACTGCATTACCCAACGTGCCAATTTCCTTATCGAAGTATGAGGATCTTTGGTCTTAGCAGTTGTTGTCAGCATGCAGCAAAGACCCAAGGCATGCGCGCTGTGGAACGGAAACGTGTTGGGATGCTCCAATAGTGGTGACGTCATCAGGGGACACCGAGGCTAAGCAACGTGACGCGATTCGAGCTTAACAACAACGCGATGATTTGGCAAGAACGCGATGCCAGCGCGTCTCATCTATTGCTACAAAACAGCATGAAAACCGTGTAGCCATGCACGCGTGTGTAATGTCACCATGCCCGCGACCCCCAGGTTGTTGACCACGAAACAGTCTTAGAAGCTCTACAACATACGTTACGTCGTATGCGTTGATCGCCTCAAACCTTCAGGCCACAAGGTCAATCTATCACGCGTGGTTGGATACGCCCGATGCGCCACCATCAAGAAAGCTCGTTGGCTAGGATTCACATTCCAGGAATGTCGTGGCACGTCAATCACGAGATATCCGCGCCTTCGCTGCTCAGTACACATCGGTAGCTGCGATGGAGTTGTTGCCATCAAATGCACTACACAGAAGGAGTGTATCTCAAGGCTGCATCAACTGCAACAATTGCGATATGGGTGCTGACGTCGGATCCACACCCCACCGTCGGACTCTGTATTCATTCTGCAGTGCAAACATCCTTTGTTTGTTAGTCGATCATCACTCCACAGTGTTTAAAATATCAAATACAAGACGCTAAACACGAATTCAGTCGACTCGCTGCGGCATCGCATACCTCAAAACGGCCCATCACAGAATGCGAGTCTGTCCACCAGTTTGCGAATGGTTCAGGGGTTGCCCAAACCAAGCCCTTATATACTATGCCTTCTCCGATAAATGGCTATGTTGTTGTTGCATTGGATACACGCGGATCGGGATTCCGCTTTGCGCAGAAGATGGCTGGAGACGCGGCACTTGTGTCGACACCGAGGGGCAAAACTGGTTCTGTGATTCGCATGCAAATCGATGCGATGCCATTATAGAGAGAACACCAGGTCGCTGTACGGGGAATCCGCATCGCTGCATGCGTGTTGGAACCTTGTATCAAGACAACTACGATGGCCAATACTTCTGTATCGGACACATGCCAGATTACCAAGGACCGCTCCGTAGCGAGCCGGCCAACCCACCACAACGACCTACATTACCGCCAATAGGACGTTCGATGGTCTCGCAGATTTCCATACCTACGCCAAATCTTTCAGACATACAGTCAAGAACTTCAATACCGCTGCCACCATCGCATGCATCATACCAGTCCCGAACAGTAACAACTAGGCGCAGACAGGCTCTTGGTACGAATCGAAGCCAAGATGTATCCGCTTCTAATGTCCTTGTACCCCATGCTACACTCCCGAGAGTGGTCTCTCGACATTCGAACCGTACTCCATCCATCGCCACACAGCCTCAAGGTCTTGTTGCACGTATCGCAAGCGCTATCTCGTCCCTGTCTGCGATTCTTTTGTCTTCCGAAAACGCTTTGCCTCCATCTCTCACTGGCATCGTCCCTACAGATCCAGACACTCCAGCAGTGGCGCCAGCAGCACCGCACTCAACATTCCGAGTCGACTTGAACGTCTTCTCAACTGTTGTAGATACTGAATGTTGCATATGTTTGGAACCGCAAAGGAGTATGCGTCGTCTCATCACTTGTAGTCATATGTTCTGCGAAGAGTGTTTGTCGAAGCAGGTCAACGGGCCGTATGCGAGGGCCCACGATTGCCCGCTTTGCCGGAAAAATATATTCGAAGGCACGGAATGGGAGACGTACTGAGCTTGGAAAGTAAAGGATTAGAGAACTCTTGATACAAACCAGATTGTTGAGTTTGGTCATCGGTAACAGTAACGTGTTTTCTGTCACTACTCGCATGCTCCCACACTGTCGGAGCCGTGGCTTCATTTCGTCTCTCACTTCGCCAAACTCATCACTCACTACTCCGCTGTCTTCTGTCAGTTTCCAGCAGTGTTTGCAAGTTTTGGCACACGGAGACTGACTACAGATTCTGCACCCTCGATACTGTCTTCATTCTTCAACCTTGGTTGAAGCACAAATTGTATACCAAAAACCAAACGATAGTATCAAGCGACCCCATTAAAACACCTCTTACAATGGCATTACCGTCAAAGTCCGCAGGTACTTCGTACGTGTTCTTACGTCGCTTTAGGTAGCGGCGACGCTGACGTTTTATAACACAAAGGTTGTTCAATAACCCCACTCTCTCCGACGTCAAGATTCGCCAAATTTACAAAGGCAAGGCTAAAGTGTACTTCGCACATAAAGCTGTGCTCTGCGCACACTCTAAGTGGTTTCTCAAAGCGTTTACCGGAACATCCAAGGTATTACCCTTTCTCGAAGACCTCAACCGATCTTCGCTAAGTCCCTTTTTCAGCAAACTTCTGAGCAAACAATCGAAGTGCTCGATGACGACCCGAAGAACTTCAAGCTCATGCTCAAGTTCATTTACACTATGGAATTGCCTTCCCCTTCATGCCCAGACTGGTGGGGTATTGAGGCCATAGCCGAGCAGAATATCAAGGTTCCCATTGGCGTCCATATTCTAGCTGACAAGTACGAGATTACTCCTCTCCTGCACCCTACCTGCGACCAAGTCGAGGTTGCTATGCGCACTCACGGAGGGTCTCTGCGCGCTAATCTCATTGCTGAGGTTGTTGCAGCGTATTATGGTGCTTGTTCACACGCCCAGAGCACCATGGGTATTACCATAGCACAGGGAACCGACAAGCATGCTGGTTCTTGGATCCCGCGCAGCCAGATGCATGCAAATACTACATTTGATTCAACGGTTAAGAAATACGGTTTTTTCGCCGCGGACCTTGTGCTTGCCTTGAGATCTGCTGGACGTTTAGATTTTGGCAGATAGTCTTCGAAACTGCAGAGGTTGAGAGCGAACAGTACCACGGAAGTCATGTCATTTTGAGAGAAGTTTATAGGCTTGCAGATCAAACAAAGGTCGATTCGGGCCAAGAGTCCACTTCTGTACGTATTATGCCTCGATAGAGTCACCCATTGTAGGGAACATACCATACGATGACTCAATGCATATCCAGCGCACTGCTACCCTCCCATTGACCCCACAACTTCCTCATGATACCCTGCCTCTGCAACGTGTCTTGTAGGTCTTTCAACGCAGCAAGTCTACCACTGCCATCCTTCATCTTCCAGTTCCAACCTTCCGAGCGACCAGCCATAACCAGCTCCCACTTCGCCTTGTCATCCGTTGATAGCATATGTGCCTCTGGTTTGCTGGATACCGTGACCGGATCGCGTGCCTGTAGGAAAGCAAAGTTGGCTGTACCCTGCATGCATTCGCGAACCTCGAGAATTTTCGTAGTCAGGTGCGGGTCATATACACGCGCAGTGTCTGCTAACTTTAGCAAAGAGCTCTTGTAAGCTCACAACATGTTTACTCACTGACGATACCGATCTTCATCTCATCAGCCACATCCGCGACAGCAACTTCCATCTCTTGGTGACCTGTCTCTTCAACCATTCTCACGTTGATCTGACGCCCGCCGACTTTGCTCCAACACAGCTCTTGTACCGCGCGTTCTGCTTCTTGTTCTCCAGCGATCCTGATGAATGTGCGTAACGGGTAGGCAAGGTTTTTGACGTTGGGCAGAACAAAGTCAGGCGAGATGGTGAAATCTTGGAAGAGCGTGAGCACGTCTTGATAAGTGAGTTGTGGTGGGTAATTGGAAAGCTCAATCTTGTCCCAATGCATACTTGATCGTCGTGATGGTGTGGGAGAGGAAGGTGGTGTAGGTGGTGTAACTTTGATTATGATCGAGTGAGGAAGAGGGATTCGAGGTGGGGCTCTACGATGTGCGCTGAGTGAATGGACGGTCTTCGTGAAAAATCGGTGAGTGCGGTTGGACGGCTTGGCCATTTGCACTTCAGGGTCCGATATCATCATTGTAGCCTAGCTTTGGTGATTAGCAGTGTAGATACAAGATCACTCCAATCATAAAGAGGTTCTGTTGAGGCAGTGGTTAAGAGAGGTCAAGGTACGATGTTGAAGATTGCTCAATGTTTATATTCTACTTGATGTGTGTGTACACGGTCACCTTGACAATGCAACTCGTCTTCACCTAGGGTTTGCAAAAGTACATATTGATTGCGCAAGTCCTGGAGGCGACACCTCAGGCGCTACACACACATCTCGGACGCCTCTCTCACCTCGCAGCTAGCGTGACGAGGTAAGATATCATATTGATGATCACCACCACTTCTCAGCTTGCGCACTGACTTGACTGAGGAAGAATTTTGTGTAGGGTTTCTCGAAGAACTTGACACGCAATTCTCAACCGGGCTGAGGCTGGCCATGAGACCTCTTGAGACGAATGAACAGGATCTAGGGAGTTATAAGCCCAGAAAGTGTTCTCCGTAGTATTCTCTTACCACATTTGCGAGTGGAGACAGCAATTCTGATTAGCTGAGATATTCAGTCGACATGAACCCATGGCGATGCGGGAGTACATCAGAGGACACGAGACAACAGAGAAAGATGAAAAAGCTATAAGGGATAACGACAAAGCCAGGTTTGAGTGGAGGTATGATGATATGATATGAACAAGCGGAGGCCAGAGCGTTAGTGAATTGCTAGCTGGAATGAAACTTGAAGACGAAAGCAAAGCAGCACAGTCTGAGAATCAGAAAACATAAGGGATCCGCGCACTCGGCAAATCTCTCGTTGAATGGTTAGGGAAAACATCGCGTCAGAATGAGACAAATGAGAAGAGCATTATGCAATGGAGATAACATTGCCTACCAGCTTCTCAGTGGGATACGAACTTAGCGTTCTTCGGTAGACTTTACGAAGCCCACTCACCCACACGCCCAATCCGAGGTAAAGGCTTATCGTCCAACACAGCCACCTCAATCATTTCCGCCCTTAACTATCTGTCCTCAGGTGAGTCACGATTATAGGGACAGTGGCACAAGTGACGTTAAGAGCCGAAAAGGCAGCCGCGAACGAGATGCGGAGGTTGACGCGCTCCGATTGGCAGCCGGAGAAGGCCGATGGTGGGGCAGTCGCGGGGTATCGTCACCATTTCCACTATGGTTGCAGGCCGTCTCGTTGCATGTCGGCGATTAATTTGCCTGATGTCCTGTTGTTTTCTTGCGTATATCCAATTGCGCGTATCCAAGTCTCCCTCTCGCATTGCCCAGGTGACATAGCCATCCCTTTTGCTCAAGATTACTTTGTCGATCGCCGAAACAGCATCCCACCAAGCCCCACCTTCCCCTGAACGCATCTAGCGGTAATCGTCAAAATCATGGCCGAATCAATTCCCAAGACGCAAACTGCAGGTTGGATCCAAGATCCCGGCCCTGATTGCGTCCTCCAGATCCGAAACGATGTCCAAGTCCAGACCCCTTCCACCGGCGAACTCCTCGTAAAACTCGAATACAGCGGGATATGTCACAGCGACTGCCACAACCTGGTCTCCCCTGGCAAATACACTGAGGTGCCTGGTCATGAAGGCGTCGGCACTGTCGTATCACTTGGCCAGGGTGTATCAGAAGACCTGCTAGGAAAGAGGGTGGGCATAAAGTGGCTTTGGAACGCGTGCAAGGAGTGCAGTAGCTGTAAACAGGGCAAGGAGAACCACTGTGCCAAGCAGAAGAACACTGGACGGAGTGTTTGGGGTACATTGCAGCAGTATGTGGTTGCGGATGCCAAATTCGTGACCAAGATACCAGAGGGAGTCAAGAGCGAGATTGCGGCGCCACTACTCTGTGCAGGCCTGAGTCTTGCGGGCGCCGTGTCCAAACTCACTCCAGAGGTCAACTCAGGCGACTTTGTGGCTATCATCGGTGCTGGGGGTGGTCTTGGACATATCGGTGTGCAGATTGCTACCATCAAGGGATACAAAGTCATCGCGATTGACAGCGGAGCCGAGAAGGAGAAGCTGACCAAGGAAATGGGTGCCGTCGCCTTTGTCGACTACGCCAAGCAGGATGTGTTACAAGCAGTCAGGGACCTCACAAATGGTGAAGGTGCGCATGGCGTCATCTGCGTCGCTGGAAGCGAAAGAGCCTATCAGCAAGCTCCAGCGTTGGCGAGGAATAGTGGCGTCTTCGTTTGTGTTGGACTTCCGCCGGACACGTTCATGTTTCCCATGTCTCCGATTCACATCGCTAACAGAGGTATTTCTTCACATCTTCTCTAAATGCTGGAGACATTTCGCTAACAATACCAGGGTTGGTCATTAGAGGATCGTCAACAGGCAGCGCTAAGCAGATGGACGAGCTTCTACAAATGGCTTTGGAAGGCAAGATCACACCAAAAGTCGAAGTATACGACTTTGCCGACTCTCCAAAGATTTTGCAGGAATTGCAACGTTACGAGGTTACTGGTAGGAAGGTAGTACGGGCACCATAAGAGCGTGACTGGTTCTGCTCAAGCTCAGCAGTTGGGAGCATGCAATAGGGTGATGTTATCATCCATATGCGGTGACGTTGAAGTGATGCATGGAACGGGGTCAAGGATGTGTACGTGGGGACTTGGGTGTACAGTATGTAGAATATCTACGGGATCCAGCGCCATTCCTTGGCAAGAGACATTGACTGCGTGAAACTTCAACGGCGATAACCGTATATTCATGGGTTTGCTTAGATGCTATGTGGGTTCGTCCAGACGTATCCCATTTTCTGCAAGACACTCGATTGATATATTGGACTCAGTTAGTACCAGTCCCCGCTCTCCTCGTTTGCCTTCACGTCCATCGGGTTCATGCTCATGATCCGCTGCCCAGGTATCGTATCCGTGAACGCACTCTCAAACACACCACTAACAGCTCTTCGCCCGATCTCTACGAAACTGTCGTATGTGTCATTTTCACCTGTGATAGCGCTCCATTCAGGATCCGTGGGGCTGCGTGCAGGCCCTAAATCGCTCCAGCGCGTAACGATGAGAGCCTGTTTGAAGCGTTCAGGGCCGTTGCCGCGCACACTCTTATCTTCGACAAGTTTGAGTTCAAATAAGTATTCCGTGGGACATTTTGGGCAGCGACGCATCGGTCGGCATATGGAGCAGAGATGAACCATGCCGACGGCTCTTCTTCCTAAGTTGCGTTCGCGGAACTTGTCGAGAGCCGTTGTTTCGGAGTCGTGGACGTGAGGAATATGCTTCAGTGCACACTTGGGGATCGAAGTTAGTAGTCCATGTTTCCAATGCGCGCATACGCTGAAGTAGGGCGTATAGTCTCCACGGCTAAACAAAAGCATGCGCTTTGCTGCATCTGTCATACCGCCTTCAACATAATGTTGTGATCGAATGCGCATCAACACGTGACCCTTGTCAGTGATGTGATATGTAGAGTCATGGCTCCAGTCTGAGTACCCATCTTTCCAACGGCGGCCCAGCGACTGGTGAGGAATGCCGTATTCTGGACCGTAAGCCCAATGGCGGCGAGCTAATTGAATGAAGGCGAATGGAAGCGTGCGGCCATCGCTTAGACGAATTCGCGGTGGAGGGATGTGGATGTTGGTTCGATTAGGACATTCAAAGAGTGGGTTGAGGACATTCTGAGGTTTCAGTGTCTCTAGGCCAGGCTGGATTCGTAAATGCCACTGCGCGCAGGGAAAACAAAAGAGATGGCGTGGCATCTTTTGGTCCATTGCAAGTAGAAACTCGAGCCGATGCGGCCGGTGGAGCGGGTCTATGAGTAGTTTGTACGGGTGTCTACCTAGTCGAGCATACATGGTCCGGCATGTAGACGATAGGTTGGCAACATCGAGTGGTGACAGAAAATCTGCAACACGGAGCCATACTTCAGGCGATGCACTGCCAATTACTGCCATTCCATCAGGCTTTGTAGGGTCATATAGTAGCGATTGATCATCCCTTTCTTCTTCAATAGTATCCACTCCATCAATGTATGTGAAAGCATGCATCATATCTGTCAGATCCTTCCTTTCTCCGGTATCCTTATCTAGAATATCATCGGCTCTTGTGGACTTCGAAGGCGCTCGATGGGCCTTGCTTAACCTTGAAGGCTGGGGTTTTGATGGCGCGTAAGGTAGAGTTTTTTCGTGTTCCAGTTGCGGTATTGATGCAGATCTCGAGCTATGTGGTTGATATAAAGGTGCAGCATACTGTGGTTGTCCTTCTGAGTTGCGACGGTAATCGGCCGCTTGTTGCCCAGGCTGTAAGTATGCGTTATTTGTGTCCGTAAGAGCGTTAACGGCAGCATATGGGTGATCACGCAACGCATGTGGCGCAAGACCAGTGACATCTTCGTAGGTCGGTAAGCCAAAAGCGTTCTCTGATAAATCGCTTCTTTCATTCGTGAAGCTGCCAGAATCCTGGCGGTTGGTGTTCGCAACGTTCGGGGTTGAGTCAAGCTTTCCGAGTATATCGCTTCGTGATCCTTTCTTGGAAACCTTCTTCCGCGTACCCGGCTCTTTTGGTTGTTTCCCTGATCGCATGCCAAACATGGCACGCAGGCCGCCTTTCTTGGTTTCTCGCTCCGCCATAGTGGAGACACCTGCAGCTAAGCGTGGAGATAATGATTGGGTGTCGTTGGACTCAAGACGGGGATTTGGAGTCTGTGCGACACAAAAGATGACCAGGAGGGTTTACGCAGGCGGTATCAATACAATTCATATGAGAAGTGTGCTTGTCGAAAGATGTTTATCGAAATTGCCGCAGGGTGGATGACGATCGTCATCGCGTGGCGGCTCGTTTCGGCAGGGGATCCGTACTCATCCGCTGCTCAATTAGTCCATTAGTGCGCCCAATCTGTGGGTAAATATGCCGTCATAAGTAACAGTGTGCATGCAATAAGCGGAGATCCAGACCGCTTCCAGGTCGACGTGTTATGGGCTCGCAGTGCGCGATAGTTCGGAGGCACGCGAAAGACGCACGACATGCATTGACCACTTACGTCTGACGTAATCCGCCAGAGGTTCGCCGATCTTTCACACCCTCCCACCAACCTCCTCATTATTTGTCCTGAATTCGGCTAACAGTACAATTTCATCACGGCAAGAGAATGGAGCTACTTTTTGAATTGAAAATGCTGAGACGTGGGCGAAATGTAAAAAAGTTCATCTATACCTAGATGCTTGACGCTTCCCAAATGATTTGTCAAGTGTCTCGATAGACATGAATAGTAACATCACAGGAGGCTCACCCTTGCTCTATGCTCCATTGCTAACCAAGGTAAACACCACGTATCTGTGCCCATCAATCTCTCTTGCCAGTTCTCTATGCACCAGATGGGTCGACCCAGGATAGACGCCACGACGTTTGCATACAAACTGGCCTAATCGATAACAAGCTTGGAGGTAGCCTTTGAGAGCTCTCGATCATCGAAATCGTCACTTGTAGGCTGCATTGCTATATCTTCAAACACTCTTCCCAGATCTCGGCAAAGACCGTTGATAGTATCGCGATTCTGGACAGTTTGCGAGCCGCTGTAGACGCTGAGATCTTTGAGAAGAGTCGTCAATCGCTCTGACTGGCGCGTCTCAGCCATGCCATCAAGCACAGGTGCGACCGATAAGACGAAAGAAATCAGGACCTGCAGGTTCTTGTGTAAGAAGAGATGTTCCGAATGGAGCATGATCTCGATTGTGTTGAGTGTCGCGATCTGTGCGGAGGATGCAGCGTCCATCTTCATAACTTTGGATGTGCTTTTCAGTAAATGGTCGATAGTCGGCCCTTCCCAGTCCAGTGTTGTGGTGAATAGTTCCAGGCTGGTTGCAGCTTTCTGCTCAAGATCTGAAGGCGAGATGAGCCCGACTGGCTCTTGACCGTATGCGCGCTCCTTCACAGTAGACTGTATGGGTTGTCGATACAGGTCGTATCTTCCAAGCACGGTGCACATTTGCTTCAGGTGTGCCTTTTGCTCATCCGTTCTCTCGTAATCTTCCCCCTTCAGGGCCTCAAAGATGCCAGTGACACGACTAGACCTCGTGCCATCGTCCGCGGTATCGAGCAGTGGAACAACCTCGTACGCAAAGATGGAGAATCTGTCATAGTTCTCGCCAAAGAGAAGATAGAGCGACTGCGCCATTCTCTCTAAGAGACTACAGCCTAGGTGTACTGCTATCTTCGATTCGTGTTCTCCCATTGAGCATGCTCTGAGAAGATTAATTGAATATCCCAAAACATTAACAGATTCGGAACCCCAGTCAGCTTTCGTGATGAACTCCCTGGTAGCCTCAAGAATATATTTGGCAGCGATATCGGCACCCATGATACTGTTATCGCCGACGATCTCGAGCTCCAGAGTTTGATCGATGCTGTCGAATAGCGCTCTAAAATTGTCTAGTCAGCCATGCTTGTTTGAGTTATCATCAATGACTTACCTGTAGAACTTAACAGCTGCTGTCCTAGCCCAGCTCCAATGGCTCTCTATCTTGGTGTTGACTACTTTGACAAGAGCATGCAGCTTTACCAAATCTCTACCAACAATCGATAGAAGCAGCTGGACTTGAGTGCGTACAACATCGTTTGGCGACTGGCTTTCGATGGATCCGGTGACATCGAGGACTAGCTCAATAAAGTCAAACTGATCCTGGTACATGTCGGCTGAAAGGTGCACGATCATGTCGGCAGATTCGGTCATGGCTGTAGTCGTCGTGTCGCAGCGATTTTGCGGGTGAGGGGCGCACGACTCAAGACAGTATTAGCGACACGTCGTGGTACTGGGTCGCACCCCGTAGGGCAGGAGCAAACACATGAGTCTTGGCATCTGGCAAAGGGCCGGACGCGCTGGCGGTGAATTTGCGCCTGCAACAAACACTCAGTAGACCAAGATCCTTGGCAACGGTCACTTATGCTCACATGTACGTGTCGCAGCACTCGTAGCACATAGAATGAGTGTGTCAGTCGATCAAGAACATTGTATCAGCAGGTCATATGCGGTATCTTCATAGTACATAACGACATTACTGCCAGCCAATAATGCCTCACACTCCGTATGCTCCTATATTTTGCCTTTCACATTGACCAGTTATCCTGCCTCAAAGCGATCGGTCCTTTCACCTTTAGCTTAGAGACGAGGTCTTCGTCCGCCTTCTCCGTCCACTGGGATGTTGTGCATCAAATGGATGATTGCCATACGAAACATATCAAAAACACAGTCGACGGTGTAATAGCCATGTCACCCATAAAGGTCATAGTGTTATCGGTGATCTGGACTTCTGAGTGTAGAGAGTATGGTTTATGGAAGCTGTAGGTAGGCAGAAGGTTTTGTACGCACGACTTTTGCCGGTTGCGCAAGCCGCTTCATCACCGTTGTATCAGATCATATAGCTATGCTTTCCTCTAGACCTTTGTTTCTCCTCAAGAAGAGCACACTTCTAGCTTCTCGACCTCCACGTCGAGTTTCTCGCAATCATGTAGTCTTTACTTTGGATGGCCTTCCAGATACCCCAAAATCCGCCCAATGGCCAGATGCTCCTTAGTTTTAATCCTAGATCCTTATTCGCCATGTTCGTATACTTTTCGATATCGACATGCACTTTGTCATACACTTCTGGCAGCATCTCTGCGTTGTATTTCTTCCTCAATCCCTGATGCCATTTGCGGTCGAACTGTGCCCAGAATTCATCTTTGCTATAATAGGTTTGCGCATATAGCCACTTCATACCACCCATCTCGCCAAGCGTCTTCTCTAGCGCGCGGTTCTTGTGAAGGTAAGTGGTTGGGTCTTTGGGACCAAAACCCCAGAGGCCAATGTTAAGCATCTGGTCTGACTTTAGGTTGCCTTTGGTATGGGGATGCATTGTTGGTTGTGGGCTTTGCTTCAAAGGACAGAGCCATAGAGGCCAGATATTGAACGTCTTATCGGTGTAGTCGATGAACTTTTCGGCATTCGGATAGGGCAAGGCCATATCCTGAACGATGTAGCGTGTTGCAATGCCCGATGCATGGAGAGCTCGGTAGAGCATGCGTGTATGAAGGAAGTCGTCGAGGAACCATCGAGTATACTTATTGAAGGGAAAGCGCATATAACTGAAAGCGGATCGACCAACCCAAAAGCCCCCACGGTCGTAGCGGAACATGTACTCGGCCAACGGTATGTACTCTATGACTGGCTTGGTAGAATCTCGTGTTGCGTTTTCGACATGCAGGTAGAACCATGGGTCCCAGGGGTTACTGAAAGTTTGTGGTTTGGTATTTGGTGGAAGCTCATCCGTCATCTCACCTGTAACGATAGCACCATGCTCTTTGTTGAATAAAATTCCATCGACGTAGTCGTTCTTCTCCCCCCTGTCGCCTCGGGTATGATCTTCGACTTCTTTGACAGCTTGAGCAACGCTACGTGTAGGATAGTATGTTGTCTTGACGTATTTCTTAGCCTCAATGAGCTTCAAGTCGACCAGCGTAGTAACGCCTAAGGTACCGACGGCACCAGCAGCTCCTCTGAAGAGGTCTTCATTTTTCTTTTCGCTAGCCTTGGTCACCTCACCATCAGCCATGACCATCTCCACCTCATTGATGGTACGATCGAAGAAGCCGAACTTGAAACTGCTACTCTCGCCTGCCGTTCCCGCATAACCTCCACCAACAGTGATACCAGGAAACTCCATCACGACGGGTGGCACAAGACCATGCGGTAGCGTAGCTTCTACGAGGCGATCCATAGGCACATTTGGCTCAACAAGCGCCGTCTTGCTTTGCGTGTCAACACTGATGACATTTCGTAGAGCGCTGATGTCTACGACATGCTTCTTAAGATTTGGACGCGTGCTGTTGGTCGAGCCGTGAGATATCCGGAAAGGCTCTTTGCGCGTGAAGTAGTCTTTGACTTTTGACGCGACTTGCGCGACAACGCGCTGATGACGATCCATCCTGAAATGAAAACGTGAAAAGTTGAGAACGCCGGTAAATGCCAATGCTATCGATACATGACGTGTTTTCTGAATCTATGGTCGAAGCTGCGCGATTGACGATCAGATCGGTAAAGACGCAGATTTTCTCCGATGCGCTAAACTTCACTGGACTAGATCTTGGCTGTCTTCTTTCTGGCTTCGCTCTCCATCTGCAAACATCATGTCTGGGAACAACATGTTCCTAACAATCACTTGTTATCTCCAGTGCTTGAAAGCCTAGCATACACAGCACATCGCATCGAGTCGACTGTACTCACTGGTATATCGTCTCTCAAGAATACCCCGATTATTCCTTGGTAGTATACAAGGGCAGTGCTCAACTCGGGGTCAAACAGTACATCAGAAAGTAGGCGGTATGAGCGTACCTAAGATCCCGCTTGACCTTGCGGCAATGTGGTTTAGTTTGTTGCAGCTGTACGGTCGAGTCTTTGTAACCCGAAGCGTCCCATCTGAAATAGGTTAGACTGTTTCCGGTCGAGCTTCACAAACTGGAGCTTGCCCTAAGCTGACAGCATATCTCTTGCGACGAAATGTCCTTCCAAATCCATTAACTTTGTTGCATTTATCTTTCTAGGCGACTTCCGTATTCATCGTCTATGTCTTATCGCATGTCTCTATTATTGCTCCCTGTAAAGGTTACATCGGCCTTGCAGAAGCGGGCCGAGGACGCTTGACGGCAGCCAAGACACAGCTACCTAGATATCTTAATACGACAACAGGACCCAAGGTGCTTAAACGACTTGACTGCCTTTCCCATCGTATCATACAGAGTATAATGTTCTTCGCGTTATCGCATTTCGTCGGTCTCGTAACCGCGCTGCATTCTCTCCCGCCTGTCTTACCGAGCTACAGCGATACGAGTGACCCCGGCTTCTCAATCAGCACGGGCGCAAGGAAGATATACATCGACAAACAATTTGCTGGTACAAGAGACTCTGAAGGTCTAACTCTCATACCGCCATCTGCTCATGAGTTCGCGGACACACTTCGCGCCGACCTTTCGTCGCTCTTCGGTGATTCTTGGACTTTGGAGCAAGTAGACGACTTTCCTCTCACTGGTATTCATCTCGGCCCAATCCGCGATAGCAATACTCCATTGACATACGAGAATGGTCAATCTACAGAAGAGGGATATGAACTTGATGTTACTAATGGTAGTGTGTACATAGGCGGGACTGGTGCGAGGGGCATGTTTTGGGGAACGCGCACTCTTTTACAAGAGCTGCTGATTGGAAACGGATCACTCGTGACGGGCCACACAGTTGATGCGCCCGCGTATAGCACACGGGGATTCATGCTCGATGCGGGTCGCAAATGGTAAGTCATCTCCATGTACGAACTGCATATGAGAGATTCACTGACTTCGCACCCCTATATTTAGGTACGATAAACACTTTCTCAAAGAGCTTTGCACATATGCCTCGTTCTTCAAGATTTCGGAATTCCATTACCACTCCAGCGACAACTATCCCTTGAATCGTGGCCGCAATGAGACCTGGCAGAATGTCTTTTCGCATTTCTCCCTGTTTCCAGAACAAAATCCCGAGCTACAGGGTATCATCCAGCGCCCGAACGAGACACTGTCGCGAGCCGACTTTGAAGATTTTCAAGAACACTGCGCACAACGTGGCGTCACTTTCATCCCCGAAATCGAAGCTCCAGGTCACGCACTAGCAATTACGAAATGGAAGCCTGAGTTGGCACTCGCAAAGAAGGACCTGCTGAACTTGAGCCATCCAGATGCTATCCCCACAGTCAAAGCGATTTGGTCTGAGTTCCTGCCATGGTTTCAAACGAAGGAAGTTCACATTGGCGCTGACGAATACGATCCTGACCTAGCGGATGACTATATCAACTTTGTCAATGAGATGTCCGACTTCGTCAACAGTACTTCCGGTAAGCGCATACGTATATGGGGTACTTATGAGCCATCCGAGAATCTCACCATCTCGAAGGATGTCATCATACAACACTGGCAGTACGGTCAATCAGATCCTCTTGAGCTTCAGGGTGGCGGATATAACATCATCAACTCCGAGGACTGGTGGGCATACATGAGTCTCAAGAATGATCATATGCCTATCCTGCCCGCGCCCTACCCACAGTTTTACAACGTCACGCGCACGATGAACTTCGCCAACATTCCCGGCTGGCAGTGGGAGCCGTCTCTTTACAATCCAGTCAATACTACAGAACAGCTACAACCCAGTGCTAGCGGTAACAAGGGTGCTATCCTTGCGGCCTGGAACGATAATGGCGCGGATGCGACTACCCAGCTTGAAGCCTACTACGCGATGCGCGAGGGTATACCCGTCATGGCAGCGCGTGCTTGGGCTGGCACGCGGGGTGCAAAGATTGCCTCGGACGATTTATCAGACAGCGTTGCGTTCCTGGTATGTACAGCGGAGAGTGAAAGCGATGCACTTTGACCTTATGGCTAACTCATGACTGATCAGGCAGCCAAAGCTCCAGGACAAAATTTGGATCGACGTTTCCACAGCGCGCAAGTGGACATGAAAAGCCCAAAGCTGCTATCATGGAAGACTTCTTTAAACAACAGCACTGCGCCGCTAGACTTCGGATCGTATGGTCCACCATACACGCTTACCCTGGAGATATCCTCGCCATTCACCCTCTCTGGGCCCGATACTTCGCTGTCTCTAAGCAAATCTTCCAACGAATCTAGTGGCAGCATCGAAACAATTACGTTCACCACTGCGGATGGCTTCGAATATCCTCTACGCTCCGTGTCTCCTAGCGATGGCTTCGATCTTGGCCATCCAGGTCGCATATGGACGAACCAGTCGTCATCTTCCCACGAGCCAGTACCTATCACACTTCCAACTACATTGCGTATAGAAACGGACGTGGTTAATGGTAGTCGCGTATGGGCTAATGATACATTCGTGGGACGTTTCGAAGTGTTCGTGTTTGGGGGACGCAACACGCTGTTTAGCTGGAGTCAAATGGCTCTTGTTGCGCCGCTAGACTCGATAGATGGTGGTGTTACAAGCTTGCTACTACAGGCTGGGACTCGACTTGGTGCTTTGTAGTAGAGTAGTGGCAGCTATATATGGCTACTAGCGAGTCTTGTTCAACACGTGTGTTCGTCTTCTTCCTCAATCCTCGGCGCTAAGTCAAAGTATCAATGGAAATGTAAATCAAAGATCATAAGAAAAAACGGGTAGTGAACAGATAGGAGAGCTGGCTCACAGCATCAGCTCCTTTCGCAAGCAATCACCTGCGGACGCTGTAGGGGCCTGTACTTCCTTCTTCACAGCGCAGCTTGGTGACTACACGTGGAAGATTCTACCGAATCGATTGCTAGGATCGATCTTTGCAAAGTCAAGCCTATATTCAAAACAGCCATGTGTTCGACGGACCGAGAGTCCTGCCTGTTCAACAACCCATCGAGCGTCAATTGTTGGAAGACCCATCAAGACAAGATATCAACGCGCTCATGCCGTAGATGTGTCTGGGCAAGGAGGCAGAGACCCTTGCATATATTGCAGCTGTCAGAGTATCTCACGAATAAACACGCCAACATTTTTCTAGTGACAATGTGGTTCGTGACATACTGTAAATTTTCATGCTGCATAAGGAGTGAGAAGATTTGTCTGGTGGGTATTTGATGCTCGAGTTGGAATGAAGTGTTAGGATATACCTGAATTCATCTTTAAGTTGATGCAAGGTTTACAATCACTACTGTAGTAGTCAAGCCGACCAGTACACTTACCAGCATATGCAAAGATTTTAATATCGCATCTTTTCCTCAGTATGTCGCCGTTAACCGCTGGATCAAATAGTCTCCACTCATGACGTCCCCGTACTTCCTTCCTTCCTTCTCGTGTGTTCCTGGGATAGCTTCGATCTTGCGCTCGTAGTTCGGGTTGCAAAAGTAGGCTATTGAGTATCTGGGCGGGTATTCATCCTTGTCTGCATCTTCTGGTTTTGGGGGTGGCTCCACGACACGGTGCAACGTCGACTTGATAGTATCATTTGACCAGCGTGCTAACAGGTCGCCAGCGTTGATTACTATGGTACCTTCAATAGGGGTGGCATTGACGAATGTGCCTTTTGGTGAGCGGACTTGGAGGCCACCGCGTGCGTCCTGGAAGAGGAGGGTTACAGAACCTGTTATTATGTCAGTCGCTCCCTTCATCTAGTATCTCAAGTCGGTCGCCATACCGTAGTCGCTATGCTCTCCTGCGCGGACTTGCAGTTGCCCATCGTTCCTCTTGAAGATGCTCTTAGATACACCAGGGTAGTGCAACAAGCGCAATGTGTTGTCGCCCGCATCTGTGAAGCCATCAAACCAAGTCTCCTCAATGCCCATGCCCATTGCAATAGCGCGCATGACTTGCATGTGGAGGCTTTTGCATGTCTCAAAGAAGCCCATCATCTGATCCTTAAACTCCTTCGCCTCGTCGTCTCCGCTTGGCCACATGTTGGGTGTTTCGGGCTGGTCATCGCGTCCAATTTCCATGCTCTCCTTCAGGTCTGGCACCAAAGCGCGCATCTCCGCCTCTGTACCAGTCTCTTCCAGCACCACCAGCTTCTCCCGCCCTTGTGTTACGTAGCCGCGGTTGGCGGCGGCGGAGTACCATGCCAACTTGTCTTTCTGCTCTTTCGGCCGTGCGAAGAATTTGGCCGAGTGGGAGAATACGGTGGATACGGTCGAAGGAGATATGCCGTGGTTCTTTAGGTAGACAAAGCCCGCGTTTTGGAAGCCTTTGAGGACGGCGTCGGCAGTTTGCTTCTTCGCGTTGGCATCACCAGAGAGAAAGGCAGAGAAGTCGATGAGCTGCGCGTTGTTAGATGCTAACCAAGATCTACGGTTTGACATTGAATACCGGAATCTCCAGGTCATCCTGGGAGACAGCCGAGTCTACTTTGATATTGGCCATGGCGTTACTCGTCAACGCGTTGCTTAGGGTTGAACCTGTGTGATGCAGGGGAACGGCTACTAAAGAGACAGACGCGTGCTAGAAAAGAAGGCACCAAGATCAGGCGATAGGTGCGGTGCCAGCGGCCATCTCCGTAGCTCAGCCATGATGGATGGCTGGGTGTTGTTGGCGGGGTTGTTGCCGAAGACAGAAGGTGTACACGAGCGCGATAAGGCTAATGGTGGGGTCGTTCGGCTGGAATCTCAACACCAGACTGACATCGTGACATTTTTCTCCGCCTATCGTACAAGCATCTTGGATCTTTCGAACGAAAGCCTACACATTAAAAACGTGCAACAATCGAAGCGGAGAGCAGAACGAACCGAGATAAGCTCCTCAGCATCTTCTTCTATAGAGATGGCTTTACAGCGATGGCTAAATGGGTTGCTTTATTGCGCGTTGCTCCAGCTTAGAAGACTTTTGTTGCGGTCGACAAGGTTGGATGTCCGTATATTCTCGCATGGTGTAGCATGTCTCGAGAATGCTTTCATGAAACTTGATATGGGTAATCTGTCTCGCTCACATCGTATCCTCAAGAATGCTCTGGAGAGATGTTGGAAGCACAATAATATATTGGGTAATCGTTACCCCTGTAATCACATCCAGAATGCACCGGACCTCTTGACACAAGTCGAGCTCGTTCATCAATGTTGAGATAGGGAATGAAGAAGGAAAGAAGTGGATTGCCTCCTACTTTGTTGTTAGTTGCATTGGATACCTAGGCAGGTACATCCAGCAGTACCTAGTTAGTACAAGGCAACGGAGTGAACACACATGTTTCAGTGAGAGCGAACGCTTCCGGTCATACTATGTGGATCCGAGAACGTTGTGTTCGTTACTCTTTCACTTTACATTTCACCAATCACAACATGCAACTTCTCTCCTCAAGCTCAGCCACGGAAACCAATTGAAACACCTCAGCAACCTCGATTGCGCTTTTCCTTCTTCAGAGTATTGCTTCAGATCTCCAAGCTAATCTTCCTCTTCAACAGCAACTACCATCATGTCCAACCTCCAATACAGCATGTCAGCACTCCATCCAACCGCGGGGCCTATATCCTCTCCATCTCCATCAATCAAGATCTCACCTACCTCGACACCCGGAGCCAAGTTCACGACCGACGTCCTCACTACCCTTCGCGCCCACCAGATCATGCTCACAAACCTCTACGTCGCCCAAAACAACGCTTACAACTCTGCCTATACCGCTTTCGCAACTCAGTGCATAGTCGGAGATATGGTACACACGGACATCAAGGATGTCGTGACGAAGCTACTGGGACAGCAGAAAGATATCATGCTGTTTCAGACTTTCCTGAAGAGTTTCCAAGATTTTGTTGTTGGGCTAGAGGGCAACGTGAGCCATGAGATCGACGAGGATTGAGCACTTTGACGGGGAAAGGTTGGCGAAGGATATCAACAGGATATGACGCTGATGCGTTGATGAAGCCAGCTCCTGGGCGTTCACGATATGTTGTAACGATGTGGAACGGACGGTTGGTAGCCTGTTTTCGTCGGAAGAGATGTTGAGTGTATTGTGAAGATGGTTGGCATCATATGGATGTTGGAAAACTGCTAGAACGTCTAGAAGGAATTCGATCGTCGTGTACGGTGATCACACTACCAAGGAGCTGAAGATGTTGTCAAAGGTGGGTTGTAGTTACTGTCTCCGAAAGACACAACCACTAGATATCAATACATGATGCAACAACATTCATTAAAAGTATACATGCGTGTATCGCTACCCGCCTTGAACAAATTGAGTTGGCTTCCATTTTATACAGATGGATATTCCATGCCATCATAACGCCCAAAACACCGCGTGTTAATCACATGCTAGGAGTGAGATACTGCTTGATCACCATAGCGCCGCGTCCTTATCGAAACGCACTAACTCTTTGCCTGCATCCTCAACGTCTTTCCTCGCCTTCATGCGCATGTAGAAGATTGGGCAATCCTTCGACGCGCAGATGACCTCACAGTGAACACTGCCTTGGCATCGCTGACACTGCGTCCAAAGGCGTGAAAAGCGAACCTCAAGTTCACTGACTTTGCTCAGCGTCTTTGTGTACAGCTCGCCGATACGGGGCCGACAGTTCTCACAGACAGCACCATCTTTCTCATATGCAGCGGTCAGTGGCTTCTTGCATCCCATGCATGTTTGCGTCTTTTTTGCGAACTTCATCAAACCACCCACGGTGGGTGCCGCGACGGTGATGGAACGCGTGTGATCACCAGTGAGTAGCGATGCTGCCTTTTTCTCACCCAGGATAGGCTCGAAAATTCTGCCAAGTGGTTTCGCGAGTTGATTGTCCAGATAGTAACGCGTATCGATAGGTAAGTTGTTCTCAAGAACAAAGAGAGGATCTTCAGACTTCTCGAAGTTCTTCGCACCCGTGGCGGCTCTGACCATGACGTAGGCGACACGGTCACCCAGAGCAGGCGCTGAACCCGCATCGCGCTTCTTCATACGTTCTGCAAGTTCGACGTGTGCTTGTTTGTTGGCATAGCCACCTGTTCCATCTTTGTTCTCTTGCTTAGTAAGAGCCTTGGTGATCACAAGGTTGGACATATCCACTTTGTTCTGCAGAAGGTCTGCAATAGTCTCCTTGACGAACCTGTTTTGACGTTAGTATTTGAGCAAGTAGAGCGGTGGAATAACTTACTCTTGAGCACCTTCCGGATCCTGATCGATTAACAGCATGCGCAAGGAAGTTTCAATGACAGTCTGAACCAGGCGGCAATTGTCACGACGAACTGTTTCGATACCCTTCGTGTCCATTTTGTCCCACTTGTTTGGATTGGTCCAGTACAGACCCGCGTAACGTTTCTTGTTGATGAGCAGGTAGGGGAAATAGACCTTTTCAAACTCCAGCTTGATGGGCTTGATGAACTTTGAAGACACATAAATCGCAGCTTCTTCGCCCAACTTCATAGCTTCTGCTAGCTCCGACGTACCGAACTTGACCATGACGGAATCGGTGTCACCGTAAATGACCTCGGCATCGTGCGTATATCCATTTGCGATGGTGTACTTTGCCTCTACCTCAGCTTTGGTCTTTTCAATCATCTGACGACCGAAACTTGTGGTACTACTTGCGATAGCAAGACATGGCAGCTTTCCGTTAGTGGCACCCGTCAATCCATAAACCGAGTTGGCGCTGACTTTCAAGGCCAACTGACGACCGTTCAGCACAGCCTTTTTGAAGGGGTCGGTCTCGACCGCCAGCTCTTTCTTCGCCCTCTTACGCGCACCGAGCAATTCCTCTAGAATCTCTGTCAAGAGTCCCTTACGTGTCTTTGCTGTGCAAAACATGTCGCCGTTCGGAGTGACAATGTAATCCTCATCCTTCTTCATCTTGAGCTTCTCCACTGTCTGCCTGTCGAGCCAGGTCGTATAGCAGAGATTGTGGGCCTGCATGATACTGGGATAAAGCGAAGCAAAATCGAGAGTCGCGACAGGTTCCTTGTAGTAGCCGCGCTTGGGCTCGATGACAGTCGCACCTTCGTACTGGTCGCCGCTGTCGCCTTGGTTTGGGAGATCCGGAACGATGAGCTGATGCTCAAGGGCTTTACGGAACAACTGGCTGATGAAGCGAATCTGTTGTCCTCTGGCAAGAAGGTAGTTGAAAGGTACACCTGTGACACGAGCCATTTCCGTGTAGTTGACCAGGCACATGAGCTTGTCAAGCAGTCGCTGTGGTAGATAGGCGTCCTTCAAACAGTATACAGCCAATCGTCGCCGGGAATTGGAGTCGCCATTGAACAGTTCTGTGATCATGCTGTGGTGTACATCTTCTTTCTGCTCTTTGAGGAAGTGCGCGCACACCGAGTTGAGTGTATAACTTCGCAGCTGATGATCTCGCTGGATGAGTTGCAACAAGTCGAGTTGTAGACGGCCATTGGTGTTGGTCGTCTTCGTGTCTCGGTTTCCCAGCTGTTTACTGGAGAAATTGGAGGTCTCTACCTTGGACTGTACAGTCTTCAGTCGAGACCAATACGGGAATCTCTGTAGTTTGAGGTGTTTTGCGCGATCGAGTAAATACGGAAAGTCGAAGTTGTTGATGTTGTAACCGATGATAACGTCTGGGTCGACCTCCTCGACGAAGTCTCGCCACTTCATCAGCATCTCGCCCTCATCCTGGAAAGACAAGACCTGTGTCGCAACAATAGGGCTGACAGTGTCTAGACAGAAGACGTTCCTGACGAAGGGTTTTTGCTCTCCGTATCTTGTAACGACATTTGCGATCTGAATAACGGGGTCGACGTTCGCCTCGGGAAAGACACCTTTACGACCAGCGCACTCGATATCGAAAGAGAGGATGCGGAGAGGAGCAAGCTTGGCCCATTCGCCTTCGGCCTGGTGGGCGATGAGATCGCTGTAGTGTAGCTGTGCCTCAATCTGACAATTGGAGTGTCGATCGCGAGGGCTAATCATCCTGTATTTTCCGGCTGGTACTTCGACCCAGCACATACCGGCGACCTGGAATGTCAGTGACGCGACGACCTAGTTGTCAAAATGACGTACCTTGGTATCAATCATGAAACGTAGCACGTAGGCGATGTTGTCGAAAGTAAGGATACCATCCTCTCTGGCCGGCCAGAGTCGCTTGTAATTGGCATTGCCTTTTTGCACCATCATTCGGACGCGGTTGATCATTTTCGGATCTGTGACAGTGATCTTAAGATATGGGCTCTTCTGGTTACCCTGAAAGCGCAATATGTTCTCCCTCATACACATCTGTACTGACGCGATGACGGCTGAGTGCTGGTTGAAGTTCTTCTGGCATTCGCTCTCCAGGAAGACCTTGTACGGCTCACAGTCTTCTTTGTGGAAGTTGAGGGGCGCGGCGACGTAGAAGTAATGTTGGAAACCGGTAACGTGGATAAGAACGGAATGGCCAGTCTGTGATATATAGTTAGCTCAAGGTCACGTATGCCGTCTGTATGTTGCTCACCTCGGTTACACCAAAGAGCTTGACCGTCGTCTTGCCACCATTAAGTACGCCTTCTTCAGCCTCAATCTGTTGGAAGACAAGATTTTGTGTCATCTCGTTGAAGTCCTCTGGCAAGGGAGGCCGCCGCCATTGTTGGTCCTTCTCTGTGTTGTCCTTCTTCAACGTCTCCATGTCCTGCGTCATCTTCTCCAACGTCTCCTCAAACTCGCTCGGGCCCACCTGGCTCGCGTTGAAGGAGCCATTGACAGTCTTCTGTGGTGGTCTACTCCTCTCGTTGCCATTCTGGATCTTCAGCTTCTTCGACGAGTGGGGCGAAGCCTGTACATTTGCGCGGGTGCTCGATGTTTCGGTAAGGGCGCGTTTCGCCGGTGCTTTGGTTACGGCGCCTGGCATTTTGAGTATGTGACCGGCAGATACGACGCCTTGGAGCGTGATCTGTGACGGGTGGTGGATGTGTGTTTGTTGTTGGTGGAGTGGATGGAAAGTGCCTAGGGAGAACGCGAAAGCGTGTCGCAGGCGCGAGCGCGTCATCCCTGCTAATTGATTTACGCCACGCTAGCCGTCGCCTGCCATCACAACCCTCTCTGCACCCTCCTGTGTCACCACACGCATCTGACTGTGTTTCCGATTGGGCGGGTCGGCAGTTCTACCATTGCATCTGAAGTGTTTTCGCAACCTCCTCGTTTTGCGAATCTAGATAAGTGCAGCCTTGTCGCTATGTTCGTCACCTTACTCAAGGAGTCTATGGTCTTGCAGTATATCCACCTCACATAATCACTTACTCGAAGACATGATTACCCAAAGTTCATCTAATCCATCAAACTACGGCTTTATGTTAGAATGCCGTGCCAAGGACCAGGCAACCGTCAGG